TAACTACATTTTAATATAATTGACTTCTTTTGTATTCCTATGTATTTTATTGAATAAATTTGATAGCATTATTTTGAGCAGAGGCTGTAAACTTCACCAGATGCCAAAAGTACCCAAGGCACTCAAAGATAAAGGACCTCTGTATTCAGGTCAGCTGTTTAGAGTGACTAAAACTTCTCAGAGAAGGACAAATAAAGATGGGAGTTATGTTATTCTCATTTTTTTTAAAGAAAATACGGTTAATTTAGGTGACTTATGACTTACTGATTGGACTTAAGGAGAAAGGAATTTATTTGGGTTACGGGAAAGCCCAAGAAAGGCCTAGAAACAGCATTTAAAGGCAGCAGCACAAGCTCTGGTATCTAACTGCTTGGCATCACATCTCAGCACACCATTCACTACTTATGTGACTTTGGACAACTTCTGTGAGTTGAGTCTCAGTTTCCCCATTTGTAAAATAGAGTGACACTTGGCCCTGCCTCTGTATGAGGACTGAGAGAGAAAATTCCTGTAACATACTCAGCTCAGCTCGACACATGGTCCTCGCTTTTAGTACTAAAGTCAGCCAACCTTGCTTGCAACAACCAGCCTTTGCAGCTTTTCTTTTCTTTTTTTCCTAATTATGAGATGCCTCCCTCGCCCCATACACAAACCTGCTTTCTTAGGCCAGTTTCTTTCTCTCCTTGCCCCCACTCTTCCATCAAAACCCACTCCCAATAAGGCTCTGATATTCCTTGCTTATGTTTCCATGTGTTTTTCACTTTTTTGGCTACTTCTCCCAGGGATGGCGATCCCATCACCATGTGAGAAGTCCTTGCCTCTGCTAAAAGGCAATTTCAGTCTCCAGTAGCAGATGAATGTTTCTCTTCCTAGGCGGAATGCTCATCCTTTTGCTTCTGTGCACCCTACTTGCCCAACTCAAATCCCACCTCATCCAAAAATCCTCCCCAAACTTCACTTATCCTCCCTGGCAGAGGCAGGAGGGGGCCCTCTGATGCCACTGAACTCCGAGCACACAGGGCCTGCCCATCAGTCTGGACATTCCGCAAAGCGCGGCTTCTTTCTCTCTTCCGTCTGCTTTCCTAGGGCAGGGCAGCTGTTCTCATGAGAAGGGGCCTAGTGTCTTTCCTTCTACATTCCTAGGGACGTCCCCAACGAGGTAAGGTAAGGAAAGAGCATCTGTAAACATTTTTTAGCAGTTCCTCCCTAAAACCTCCTGGCCTCCTTCTCTGTGCTATGAATTTCCAGGGGTAGAATGAGCTAAACTTGGCTTGCAAAGGAACCAGGAATGTCTCTGCTAAACTTATTAAAGGTCTCCAGGGAAGGCCAGACTGAGGTTGAACAGTCACCTCAAGGATTCTTGGAAAGGATCCTCCCCTTTCCAAGATTCTGATGCTCCCTGCACCCAGGAATGCTGTAGCAGGAGAGCCCTGAATTAAGATTCAGAACTTTGGGGTTTAACCTTGGCTCTCACAGCGACCAGCTGTGTGACCTTGAACGTATCTCTTCCTCATTCTGGACTTCAGTTTCATCAACCGTAAAATGAATGGCTTGAATTTGATATTCTCACTTACACTCTAGGAAGGAGAATTGGACTCATTCTTTGTGGATACATTCCAAAATTTATCATATTTTTCAAGAAACAGGACTCATTTATAATTTTCTGGTCATCTCACAAATTCTTTGGCATTCTTTCCCATAATAAGCATGGAACTCATTTCACGCTTCAGGGCTTGCTGTGGTGATCACCACATTGCCTTGCTTTAGTGCCTTTGATTCAAGAAATTATTTTTTTAATGTATACTCAGCAAGCAAAAGCTCCAAGAGTGTTACTATAAATCTGCCCTTATGCTTTAGTTACAGAAACAGTTTGCTTTCACAAAATCATGTCTTTATCCTTCTGTATAAATCAATGTGCATATTGGAAGTACGTAGAAAACAGAAAAGAGACACAAAAGCACAAGTGTCACCTTGTTGGGCTTTACCACCAGTTTTTGGGAAAACCATCAGCTGGGCAGCCAATTCAATGAATCTGAACATGGTGAGTATATCGTAGGTTTGTCTCTTGCTCACTATGCACGTGTGGATATTAAGTCTATTCAAAGGTTTAGCCTTAGCTTATCTAGCAGACATAAACAAATGGGTCCTCAGATTTTGAGTCTTGGCATGCAGATGCTAAGAAGTATTAATGGTTTTACCAGAGCAAACTTATAGGAAGAGGATATATAAATAAGTTAAATCTTTTTAGAATGAGAGGGGAAGTTTGTAGGCAATAAGAGCATGAGTTAGCACTGTTCTCACAATTCATATAACCATGGAATCTACTCAGTGTTCACTCAAAGAACCAGCACATTATAACTAGGAAAAATATGAGGAAGGGGTAGAAATTAAAGGAACATCATGCTCAGTGATTTTATAGATACACACATATTTTTATTTCACTTGATAACAACATAATGCTTTCACTTACTACAAAATCACAAGCAGATACTAATACTTCGAAATATTACAGAGAGTTGAGTGAAAAATTGATACATTTTAGGCTGAAAAGCTGAAAGGAATTTGGTTGTAGCATATAAAAATCCCCTATTTAATACAGTCATCTCTAGCTTAGCATTCCTGATGGAAATGGTGAACATAACAACAATGCATTTTATCATTTTATTATTTTTAATCTAAAATTTAACTTTCTAGATTTTAGAATGCAATATATGATTTTATAAAATAAATAAAAATTGCTTTCCAATGCGTCTAGGCTAATATTTCAATTAGTTTTTATTCTCTGAGAGCATTTTGACTAAACCGTAGGGTGAGTCTGTTGGGTGATACATGGGAAGAAATAAATAGGTTTTTGAAATGTGTGTTCCAGGGAAATAAAATGACTATGAAAAATAAGCTTTGCCACCAGAAATAAAGAGTTGACTATATTTGGAGAAGGAAATGCCCCACAGATGTCACTTAAATAGCCTTAAAGTGCACTACTCTAGAATTAAATAAGAAGAAAAGAACAAGTCCACTCTGTAGATCTACACACCCCATGAGAATAAAAACAAATTGAGAAACGGCTATCATCTTGCCCAGGGTCACGCTGACTGGGGGCAGGCAGGGGAAGACGACCAGTACTTCCATGATCACAGCAATGCTCTGATCCTGGAGTTTCCAAAACCCTGAACTCATCCTCTGACTGGAGACCCACCCGCCATTTCCTTTATGGTTCTGTCACCAAATCTCCGGGGCTTCTTTGTTATACCAACATGATGCGCTAAGAAGGGCAAAGAACAATTTACACAAAGAATAACAAAAGGGGGAGGTGGTGAGGTTTCTAGATACATAAGTCGAGGTAACAGGTTTTTCCTTGTCTAGGCACACTGCACGCAGTCGCTGGTCCATTCTTTTGACTGCTCGTGTAGTTGACAGCATCCCCCATATATTTTGTTGGTGCCTCACAACTGTTCTGTCAGTAAGTATCACAGGTGTTACCTTTGTCCTCTCAGAGAGGCTTTGCCTAGGGCCACACAGGTGACAGAGCCCAAAGTGGAGCTCAGATCTTCTAGTTCCAAAATAGTAAATTGCAAGACTTAAAACACCAAACAAAGAAGGCAGGTTAGGAGGTCGGATGAGCCTTCAATAAGCCTGTGGGCTCACTGAAGCTCACTGTTGGGTCCAACGCTACCCATTTGTATGTCTGCTTCTTTCCTGGGTGCCCAGGGCCCTCCCATCCCCTGGTAGATGCATCTGATTTGCAATCCTTGCCACAGAATCGCATGGTTTCATTCACACTGAAGAGTAGAAATGTGGTGGTTTATCCCACCCAACAGTGCCTCCATTTCAAAAAAGAAGTGAGATTTCATCCAAGGGAATAATGACCAGGATGGGATTCAGGCATGAGTGACAAAGATATCTTGCCCTCAAATCATACCAGTGAGGGCTGTCTGATTAGGAGGGAACTCTTCCTCGCTCACATCTGAGAGCTGGTGGGAATGGAAAAATGACTGACGGCCACATCCATGAGGTGTTGTGTCTACTTTCAAAGATTCTATGCAACACAAGTATGGAGACGTGAGAAGGAAAAGAAGGACTTAAGGGGAAGCTGAATTGGCCCAAGCCAGAAACACATCCTTACACCTGGAGAGCCTGAGCCCCACAGGCTTCCAGAAGTCCTGTGTTGACTTCCTCCACCTGTACTTCCCTTCCTCCCAGGGGCAAAAGTCCATGGAACCAAGGGGACATGCCCAACCTGAGCTCAGGCTTCCCTCGTTAGACTTGTTCCAGGTCCCAAGACCCCATAATTCCCTGTCCAAATGGTTTCCAAGGTCTGTGTGGCTTCTCCAAGTCCATCCTCCTGAAGATGAGCCTTACCATGTATGTGCAGAGCCTCAGGCCTGAGGGGTGGCCACAGAGCATTGTGGGGGGGAGGGGAGAGGAAAGTCTGCACAGCACTTGGCCATGGGTGCTGGATCTCCATGTGCATGCATGCAAGGTGCCTCGTGGTGAGGGTCAGAAGCAGAGATGAGAAGAGAATGATTGTGGAAAGAGCTGGGAGTCTCTTCTGTATTCCTGCCTCTGCCTTGCCAATGTTAGGAGTGAACTCAGGCCTAAGAACATTCCCAGAGATGGGCTACCTTAGTGTCAGAGGAGTAGCTGAGATGGTCAGGAGACACTGTCACACTACCAACACATGCATTGCAGTCCTAGATGCCTACTCGTTTCTTTCTGGAAACCCCCTTATTCCCAACTATCTGTACCACAACACTTTCTTTGGTTTAATTCCTGTTTCATTTTGCCAACTAAACGTCATCAACATAGACAGGTATCACCAGTGCCTAGTGGTGCACAAATTAGACATTCAGTGAATGCCCGCCACTGGTGACAGAGTCTAGTCACATGGCACTCCTTTTCTGCAGCAAGCCAGGAGCTCTTGGTTGATAGAGTGTATCCAAGCACAGGGGCCATGTCCCAGAGATCCTGTCTTGTGCTTAAACTCGGCAGGGTCCGTGGGGTTATTTCAGTCTGATGCAGTCCACCTCTTCCGTGGCAGGCATCCCGGTGGTTTTGAGGTCCAGGTCTGCGCTGGACTTACTCCCGTTGTGCGAGGCCTTCCAGTGGAGCAGCATGATCTTCTTGAAGTACTTGACGGTGTTGTTCTTGACGGTGACGAAGCACAGCGTGTTGATCATGCTGTTGCTCATGGCGATGCACTCCACGACGTAGAAGGCGGTGAGGTAGTGCTTCTCCTTCACGAACACCGCGGGGAAGAAGTCGCGCACGACCGTGAAGCCGTAGAAGGGCGCCCAGCACAGCACGTAGGCGCTGAGGACGCCCATGAGCACCAGCACCGTCTTCCTGCGGCAGCGCAGCCGCTTGCGGATCTGCTCCGTCTGGAACCCGGGCACCGCCTTGAACCACAGCTCCCGGGAGATCCTGGCGTAGCACAGGGCCATGGTGACCACGGGGCCCACGAACTCCACGCCCACGATGAAGAGGAAGTAGGATCTGTAGTAGAGCTGCTGGTCCACGGGCCAGATCTGGCCGCAGAAGATCTTCTCCTGGCTCTTGACGATGACGAGGACCGTCTCGGTTGTGAAGTAGGCGGAGGGGACGGCGATGAGGATGGACACGGCCCACACCAAGGCGATCAGGCCGGTGGCCGTTTGACACTTCATCCGCGGTCGCAGCGGGTGGACAATGGCCAGATACCTAGCGTGGGAACACAAGGGGAGCCGCTGTTACGAGGGAGTGCGGGGCGGTCACTCATTGTGCCACGTTACGGGGCACAACCGGATTGTGCGTGCGCAGGAAAAGCCCAGCAGCAGGAGGGCTTCCGCCAAAGGCGGGCTTGGCCGCAAACCCCAGCCCCACCTCTACCCGGCTGGGAAACACCTCGCAAGTTTTGCTTAACCTCTCCGAGCCTCAGTTTCCTTTTCTGCAAAAGTTTGTTTGCTTGTAAAGATTGAATGTGGTAATGCATCCACATTCCTGGCACAGTGTTAAACCTAATATGCACTCAAAAATCAAAACAATTATTATTAAATGTGGTAATACCTCCCATCAGTTTCTAGCCTGGCACGATTCCCAGCTCCATCCTGTTCTCAGGACATTCGTTCTAATTACCTCACGGTTTAGAGCTAAAAGAGTTGTTGGGATAATTCCAAAGAGTCGTTGGGAGAATCTGCCCTTTCCAATGGGAGCAGAGGGCAAAGTTTTTCTTCAGTCCACATTTTAAAAATGTGTTTGCATATGCATGCAAACGTGGAGGAAAAGCATGTGACCATTTATCTCATTTTCCAGGTGGAGAGACCGGAAGGCAGTGAGAGATGAGTGACTTTCTCAAGGTCATGTACCACAGAACCCTTGATAGAAAACATTTAACCCGACCTCACAGGGTTGATGTGAAAATCAATTGAGAATATACATGAATTTTTTTTTTTTAACCACAAAGCACCAGACAGTAAAAGATACTGCTTGTGCACTTTCCAAAAAAAAAAAAAAAAAAAAAAAAAAACCCACACTGCTGTTACCGCAGTGATACAGGAGTGAAGAGAGAGCACTTTCTGGGAGATATGAGTCATCGTGCGGTGCGATAGCTGACAGCATCCTTCCCAGGGAGAGTGCACATACTTATGCAGAGAGCTCCGGTTTCCTGGAAGACATTCTGTGGCTGGCAGGGGATAGAAGTTGGAAAAGGAGAAAGGTGGGAAGTGAAGTGGGAGGGAAGGACTAGTCAACACTGGAAACAAACACATTCTCACGTGTCCACGGCTTATCCCAGGTAGAATCAAGAGCAAATGTGACAGTGGCCTCAAGGAAAGCCAAACCAGTTCTGTTTCCTTTGAAACCAATCCCTGTCACGTCATCTTTCTTGGGATTGTGATTTGAACAGAGGTTCATTTTTTTTTTCCCCCACTGATTGTATTTCTACTATTTCTGCCCCTCCCCCACAGCACGGGCAGCCGGACACGTTGAGAGAGTTCACTAGGGTGAGACTCTTGCTCTCTTCTAGCTCCCAGAAGATGTTGGAAGAAGTTGCATGGGTTGGGTCCACCCTCTGGACACCCGGCTGGCCACCATTCCCGGCACTGTAGCCAATCTCCCAAGCGTCAAGTGCCCAAGGGTAAAAGGAGAATGTCTTCAGGGCGTTGACAATGCTGTCGTCACTGCAGGGGTGTAGGCCCTTCACAAAGACCAAGGTGCTCCTCATGTAACCAGGGCATCAAACTGGCTCTCACTCGGAATGAAAACTAAGAGTTTAGCCCTTCTGCTCTCATCAGCTCGCTTGCTGTCTACCCTATCACGTTCAGCTAATTCCTCTAAGAAAATTTCTATATTCATATTTGCTCGCTATATGAATTTTCACTATATAACTCTATTCCTTCTTTTTTCAGTACTGACTTCCTAAGCCTTTATGATGTTTCAAACTCAGAATGTGTTTTCAAGGAACGCATGGGAGAGAATACCAACCTGGAATTTAGAAGACCAAGAATCTAATCCCAGCTTTGTCACAAATTTGCTCTGTGAATCTGAGTCACTTTTCTTAGCCCTGTAGGTTCAATTTCCCAATCTTTAAAATGGGAATATCACCTAAATACTATGAGATGCAAGGAAACACTGCATATAACAACAAGCTATTAATATACGAGAAACTGTCAGTATCTTAAAATGTATTTTTTTCAGAGTTATTCCGTATACACCACAATTTTCCCTTACCTGTTTTTGGCAAATACTGCATTTGCAAGTCCTCTCCTACCTTCTGTTTTACTGGATACAACTCTTCACATCAAAACTAATCTTCAGGGTAACATGTGACTATCCATCAGATAGTTTTTTCAGCCTGGCTCACTGACATCATCACCCCACTCCAGCCCCAGGGTTAGTGCCGGAAGCTGTGCAAGAGGCCTCCCTGATAGATACATTACCAATAGGCAAATTGCAGAAAACTGTTTCAAGGCTTTTCCATCAGCCTTGGCTAGGCTAGGATCAGAACTCCATAACTCTAGTATTAGTAATGCTTGCTTATGTTTGTAAAGAAGTTTACAATTTACAGAGCATTTTCAAATTCACTTTTTCACTAGGCAATCCCAACCTTATTAAATAGGTGAGAGCAAAGATGCTGATTTTACAGGTGAGTAAACTGAAGCTTGGAGAAGTTAAATAACTTGCCAAAAACCACTCAGCTAGAAACTGACAGAACTGTGATTCAGACCCGTATCTTCTTGCAAATCCAGTGGCCTCTCCAGTAGTGCGATTTGCCACCCACCCTTTCCAACAATGCCCCCTCCTCCTGCTTCCTAGCATCCCAGCAGCCCGTCTCCACTTTCCTCTCCATCACAGCTGGTTTCTACTTATGGACGTTCCAAGAAGGGGTCAGACAGTTGGCAGCTACTTTTCTCTGTTTGTGAGTATGCCCTTGGTTTGCCCTGTGTGTCTGCCACTGCAGTGGCTTAGGTCCAGATTCATCTAGAGCCAATAGTTCCCAGGCAACAAAGAATAAAGGCTGCTGGACAAAGACATGTTCAGGCAGTGACTGTGTGATCATGGTGGGCTGGGTGATTAAGCAAAGAGCATTTGGGTTCCCTCTCTGCCCCCAGGCCCCAGCCCCAGATCTAATTACGGCAACAGCAGTCCTAGGAACTAGTAGGCTGGTTTGGGGATGGGCACAGAATGCACAACCTGCTCCTCGGGCCAGCCTGCCCTGACCAATGAGCTCACTGGGGGCACTTGTGCTTCCTAAGGTTGGGTGAGTGAGTGTACGCAAGCCTTAGTTGGCCTCACCAAGACAGAAGCAGAGGGCATTCCAGTGCCCGTCCAGTGCACAGACGGGCTGGTAACAGAAGGGTGGGTTCCCTAGTGCCCCACATGTTGTGGGATCTGAGGGATATACCTCAAGGACAGTGCTGGTGTCTCTGTATCAAAGAGAAAGCCCAGACCTGGTGGGGAGCAGGGGAGAGTTCTCTCAAGATCTTTTTCTGCTCCCTTCTGCCATCGGTTCTGACTGTCTTTGTCTGGGTTTTGAGATCTCCTGGAATATGGCCCTGTCCTTTCTGATCTCTACTCTCCTTACGTTTCTGCCCCTGCCTGACACACCTCCCCAAGGTACCTCATACTCACTCAGGCACTCCCACCTCTGAACTTGTGCAAACACCGTTCTACGCTCTTGGAAAAACTTTCCTCTCCTTTGCTGATGCTTATTTGTTGCTGGCCAGTTAAAAGTCCACCTCCTCCAAGAAGCCTCTTCCGACTGCTCCAGTACACAACGAACTCACTCTTCACTAAATTCTACCTAGAGTTTATCCTTTACTTATTCTGTAACTGTTTCGTACGTGGTAGTTCTCCCCCAGGCCCCACTCTAGACAGTAAGCTCCCCGAGAGCAGCGATCATGTCTTACTTCTTTTATAAAGTTTTGCTGTCTGTGAATCCTAGGCACCTAAGAGGATTTTAATGAAACTTCACCCTCATCTAGTGCGTGGCACTGGGTGAATAGAAGTGTAAAAAGCTAGAGTGACAGTTCTCAAAAAGATCACAATGTTTTTTGAGAAAACAAAAGGACATAAATGTGTTTACCCAGCATGACACTGGGAGGCAGTCTGGGGCTAGATAATAAAAGGTTGGAAGAACAGGCGAAGAGGTTTGAGCCAGACTTTGTAGACAATGGAGTTGTAGTGGCCTTTCAGTAAGCGAGGGGAGACATGTACAAGGGATGAGATTAATCTAGTGGTAGCCTTGCTTATTTCCCTCTGGCCACAGGGGCTTCTCTGTGTTCCTAGAACCTATCATGTTTGTTCCTGCCTTGGGGCTTTTGCACTCGTAATTCCCTTTGTCTGGAAGGCCTCCTCCCAGTCTGCACAAGGCAGCCTTTTTCTCCCTCCTGGTGCATTGGTTGGTTCAAATGTCTTCTCAGAGACACTTCTACTGACTGCTCACCTAGAGTAGGTCCCATCTCAGTCGATAGATGTTTCTGTGTGAGTTTCTTTTTGTTCAGGGTATTTCTCGCTTCTGAAATTACTTTCCCTTTTTGTTTGTCTTATTGTTATCTCTCTTCCATCCTTTGAGTATAAGCTCCATGGGGGCAGGGAGCTTTTTTGCCTTATTCACTGTCATATCCCTGGTGCTTGGAATAGTACCTGTCACATTGCAGTCACCCTATAAAAATGCACTGTTTGAATGAATGCTTGGATGAAAGAGTGAAATTTGGGGATGGATTGTGAGGGGAGTAGGGTGGACAGATGCGCAGAGCAAAGAGACACTGAAGGTAGGAAGGCCAAGGAGAGACTAGGATAGTCCAGCACTGGGGGAAGAAGGTGGGTATTGCCTGGACCTAGAAATCGAGTAAATGCTGGCGAGGAGGAGAAAGCCGGTAGGACAAAAGAGACTTTCCAGTTTAGGTGCCTGGGAGAACAATAATATGAACAGAAATCTAAGCAGATAGAGGATAAATAGTTCTATTCTGCTCTTTCTTAGAAACCTTGTATTAATGTTTTTAAATCACATCATAAAAACAATCACTTCAATGAAAAAAAGTTAGTGGATCAGAAATATGCATTAGTTTATCTTTTTTGTTGTAATTGTTTCTACAAGGGTTGATTTCAGAATTATACTATACATTGTTGAATGCTTACTCTGTTTTAAACATTGTTCTAAGCAACTACATATATTGTTATGGCAAGGCTGATGGGGAATAGACCGAGAGACATACACAGAGATTTTGGCAGGTTTTATGTGCCGGCCGGCAATTGGCCTAGAGGGGAATTTGTTCTCCCCAAATTCTGAGCACCAGACAAAGAGCACTGCAGTCTTTTACACACTCTGCTTAAGGAGGAGGGGTACAGCTATAACAGGGTTAACTTTAGTGACGCAAGGTCCTAAGCTACATTACAACCTGATACACTAATTGCTACAGGTGATTTATGAGGGGAAAGGTCGCAGGGCAGGAGAGGAGGAGGGGCACGGTCACAACAGGGTTAACTTTAGTGAGGCAGAATCCTAAGCTGCTTTACAGCCTGGTACACTAATTGCTACAGGTGATTTATGAGGGCAAGGTCGCAGGGGAGGAGGGGGCCCAGGTAAGAATCACAAGGAAAAAAAGCCCAGTAGTGGAATTTCTAAGAATTCCACTTCAGTGGAATTTTTCAGTCTTCCACTTCAATATTATTTCATTTAATCTTCAAAGCAACCCAATACATTAGGTTTTCTTATTATCCCCATTTTGACAGATGAGAAAACTAAGGCAGAGAGAGGTCAAATAACTAACATAAGGCTCTATACCTATTAGGTGGTATAGCAGCAATTTAAACTCAGAAGGAATAACTGTTAACCCTGTCTCTACAGAAATTTCATTAAATAAAAGCATTTTTACAACTCTATGTGTATTTGTTATACCAAGATAAAAATTAGTTGCCCAAAACTAACCTGAAAATCAGTGATCAAATCATCAGCAATAAATGAGAGCAGACAAAAATCAACGAATTCCTAGACCACAAAATTGAAATTAGATGGTGACAACACATAAAAATAAAAATAATTTGAAGTAAAGATCACAAACATCAATGAAAGAACTTCATGCATTGGAGCAGCCAGTTAGTCAGCCAAGACTACTGTGTTACCCAATGTTCGGCACTTGTCCCCTCTGTGACAACTGGATGGCCCAGTGCAGGCAAACGGTGCTTTCCTCCAACATCTGGGTGCAAGTGTCCAATCACAACCCCACTCTAAACAATAAGTCCCCATGATGAAAGCATGTTCCCTAATTCATCCTTCTAATTGTATCTAATTCTCGTTGTGTCAGGTCACGCTGCAAGAGAAATGCCTACAATATTTCAGACAGGCTGAGTTTGGTATGAAAGCAGGACATGAGCTTGAAGGAGTTCAGTAGATCAAAGTTGATTGATTGACATAGATATTACCTCTTACATGTTCACAATAACCCAATGCCCCTGGTTCCTTCCCCCTTGGAGCTGCTCCCTCCAACAGTTGTTACCCCTTTCAACAAGTGGACCCCTACATGGTAAAATGGGTCCCACCCAGGGAGCAGGGTCCCACTCCACAGCAGGCACCTACTTACCCCACTTTCAGTAGCTGAGAGCACCCCTAGGAAAAGTTTCTTGTCTTGCTGGCAAGAATCTTCATGAAATGACCCTCGATGCTTTGCCCTGTTAATGTGCTAAGAGAGGGGGTGGCACTTTCCATTTTGAGAAAAGTTCAGAGACAAAATCTCTGGAGCTCTTCCTTGGCAGCTCTGCAGGGAACTTGGGAGGCAATATTCTGCTTGACTGTTTTCCTCCTGCTCCTTCTGTAGCAGGGTGCTTGCCTAGCTGAACAAGATGCCGTGGTGCTCCATGACTCAGGTGAAGAACCCCAGCCAAGTAGTAGTAGCACTCTGCAAGGTTGACACCACCGGGCACCTTCTAAAGGTGGCAGGCCAAGGGCTATTTAAGCTGCTAACTCCTTGACATCCTTCCCTGGAGAAGGGAGACAGAGGCTCCACTCCTCAGTGGTTTTAAAGACAGACCTCTTAGTGATCCCTTTCCTCAGGTTATCCTTTTCCAGGTCATCCTAGCCCAGGCTGCCCTGCCTATAGCTTCAGAAAACACAATACCCTGGAACACTGCCCTGGGGTACCCTGACTGTGAGGGCCAGGTTAACCTCCGGACCCCGAGCCCTGAGGCCATGGAACAGGGAAAGCATGTGTGCTTCAGGCTCTCTGGATTAAGAGAGAGAGACAGGCTGTTCAGATCCAAGTACAAGGAGGCCTGGTTTGACCCTCAGGGTAACTGTCTCTAGACTGTAACAAGGTGCTTTGTAATGACAGTCCAACTGTGGGCAGAGGAGCTTGCAAAGACTGTCCCCCAGGGAAAAAGACGACCCTGGCCAATTAGCACAAGTTTATATTAAATGAAAAGACTAAATTTAAAAAAGATATGCAAAGGCTGTATTTACCATCAGCTAGACACAGTCTTCTGCACTATTGCATGCAAATGGATGAAAAGGTGCAAAGTGATGAATGCAGCAATAACAACAAAAAGCAAGTAAGCATATGCTTCCTTTTTTCTTTTTCTTTTTTTTTTTCGAAACAAATCCATCAATCTTATTTAGAAATCACCTGGTGCTAGGAGGTCATATTTTAGTAAAGAAAGTCTTGCTAAGATAAAAATCTCCGTCAAGCTTTCCAAGTTGACCAAGAGGTAACTGCCTAGAAGTTAAACTTATCCTTCAGTACCTCCTCTTGCCTGTCTACTCTAGACCTTGAACAGGTACAGCATCTAGGAGCATGTCCATAGCAGAGGAGAAGGGAGTGATCAAAAGCCTACTGGCCACCCAACCCTTGGGCCTCTGCTGCCTCCTGCCTGACCAGAGCTGGAAAACTGGAGCTCTTCTCACTGTTCGGTCACTGCTTTGAGTCCCCTCATGCAAACACGATGCCTCAAATCAATCTGCAGCTGCAGTAAAGGAGGGGCAATTCCAATGCCTTCCTCCCTGACCGCCTTTGTTGCCCCTACTGCCCCTGTGCTCACCTGTCGATGGCAATGGCCAGCAGGGCATTGGTGGAGACGTAGAGAGAGACCGTGCGCAGGTAGTTGACAGAGGTGCACAGGACGTGGCCATGCTCCCAGGAGAGCTGGCGCACCACATAGTAGTCCATCTCGAAGGGGCAGCAGACAATAGCCACCAGGAAGTCAGAGATGGCCAGGTTGGCAATGAGCAGGTTGGTAAGGTTGCGCAGCTTCCTGTGGCGGGCCAGGGCAGCAATAAAGATGAAGTTGCCAATGCCACAGATCAGCATGATTCCCACCAGGGCCATGCCAATGACAATCCTGGCAGCAAAGAAAGTCCGAGAATTAGTTACATCCTCATCTTCATCCAAGGGCATATCATAGTCGCCGTAGCTGAAGTTGAATGGGAAGGAAGCAGCATGGGCTCCGTGGGGGTCGAGCACAGAAAAGGAGTTGGTGGAAGTGTTGGTGGCATTTTCATCCGTGATCCCTGTGGTGATCTCCATTGATTGGCCAAGTGGTGCTGTGAGTGACGCTGCTGGGAATTCCTGGGGACAATGTCCGCAAGGCTGAAGTCTCCCCTCTCTGTTGACACTTGGCTCTCCTTTAATGAGTCAGAGTGTCTCTGCCAGCATCCTTGGGGTACAGTATCAAAGCTTCATTCTAAGCCTTTGAAAGACATACAAACAGTTGGCTACATGTTGGAGTGAACCTGGCCAAATTTAAAATCATCCTGTAACCTTATGAGCAGACCCATAAGCCACCTGCTCAGAGGGAGCATAGGGTGATGGAGTAGAAATGAAGGAACCAATATGAGAAAACCAACGAATGAAAACCACATACTCAATTAGGGAAGAGTGGATTGCTAGAGAGACACCCAGGCACAGAATGAGTTTATTTCTGCTCCACTGAAGATTCTGAAACGTTGCACGTTTTCTCAAGGACCAAAGTTGGGAGTGTGGGCAGGCTGAAGAGAACAGAAATGACCTGCTCTGCTCACTGTCTTGATTACCTGAACTCTGTCCTCGTGGAATAATCCCATTCCCATTCTGTGGTAGCAATAACTCCTTCCCAGGGGCTTAAAAGAAATGACTCTGAATGCCATTGAAGAGGGAGGGCTTTGAGATAAGAATGTCTGCTCTCCATGAGCTGGTCTTCTGGCAAACAACTATGATATTAGAGCCCATGGAGCAGCCACCTCCCTTTCTCTTCACTGGGCTCCCTGTTCCCACATGAAAATCTGCTGTGACCCTAGAAGCCTGTCACGGCGTTTACACAAGGCCTACGCAGGGGCTGCAGGGTCGAATTCACAGCCTGTTCTGAGTGGGTCAGAAAGGGGGCCCTAGAGCAGAATCCTTCCTTGGCTGGTCGTGTGTGCTGAGGTAAACAGCTTAAACACTCAGGGTTCGGCATCCTCAAGGAGATCAATAATGTCTGTACAGCACAGAGCTCCCTGGGGAGGGAGGGTGCTACACCCTAGAATTGCAAGGAGTTACTACTGCGTGTACTCAGGCCTCCTAGGTCAGCTGCAAGGAAGGGGAGTGAAATCCTGACGCAGTGACTCCACCATATCACCTAATGGGGCTGGGGGTGGAGTGTCAGCATCCCTTCTGGGGACACAAAGAAAGCCAGAGTGCCCCTGTCCCCTTCCTTCTCCCTGCAGTCCCTCCCCAAGTCTGAAGATAATCAGACCCGAGAGCTGAGGCGTAAGAGGAGGGCTGGGGTCTGGAGAGTACCCTAAATGGCAGGAGAACAGAGGGAAGAGAAGAATGACAAACCCGAGCTTCCTGGGAAAGGCAACCGTGGGGAAGATGCCCAGGTGCCCCAGGGAAGCCTGTTGCCCGCTCCCTCAAAGGCAAGATATCTGGAGCCTGTCTTTGGGGGAGCCAGAGTTAAAGTCCCTCTGCACCCCAGTGAGGCTCATCCCCATCGCTGCCTCCCTCTCCTAACTCCTCTCCCCTATTTTTTCCTTCCTCTGAGCTCTAAGTTCCGTCCGGCTCAGCCCCTGTCCCCTGCCCCTGTCAGTGGGGAGAAACAGAACCCAGAGCCGAAAGGTCAGAGGGGTCAGGCCTGGTGCCCCCACGGGACAGGCCTCACTCCTTGCACGGCCTGGACCTATGTATCGCAGAAGCATGCCACCTCTGAAGGGGTACTCCTACAGGCATGCTACCTGCAGGCTCAGAGTAGATTTTTAAAATAAAGAATAATAGAAAATTCTGGGGGAGAGCATTAGGAGATTAAGGATTTGGTGAGGAATTGTCCAGTGGTCTTTTCTTCCTTATTCTTACCTCTGGGAGAAACCCCACTCGCACCCCCACCCGGTGTCCTCTCCGTCCTGGAAGCCTCTCTCACAGCCCTGCTGATAAGCCCTTTGCTGCTCCCAACTTTCTCTTGGGAGTCGAGGGGCTACGCCTAAGGACAGAGGAGAGGTAGCCTGGCGCCCTGAAGAAATGAGTCGAATCCCTTGGAAAGCTCCCTCCCCGCTGAAAAGCCCGGGCACCCCGCGGCCGCGGGTGCAGCGTGGGGGTCGCAGGAGCATCCCGGGAGGGCGCGCTCAGTACCTGCGGCATCCCGGCGCCCAGCGACGAGGTCCGGGTTTCTTTATTCCCGGGCCAGGGTCAGAGACGATTTCTCCAGAAGCCCGCAGGCGAAGGATAGGTCCTGGCTCTCTGCCTCCTCTGCTTGGGGCTGTTTCCCGGCTCTGGCGGGAGTTAGGCTCGCGCTGCCGCGGCAGATCCCGAGAGCTGCGGCGAGGCCACCCGCGGCCCCGGCCCGCTCGGCTCCCCCGGCCCGCTTGTTCCTGCCGATGGCCGCGGGGCGCCCGGGGCTCGAGGGAGGTGTGCTCGGGCCAGGTCCGCGAGGCTCCCGGGGGCGCCGGGTCTGGGCTCGAAGCGGGGACACGTCGGGGGGCGCCCGGGGCCGCGCGCGGCTGGGGGCGCCGGGGATCGCCCCGGGCCGGAGCGTCGGGGGCGCCGAGGTGGCAGCTGGCGGCCAGAACACGCGGGAGGGAGCCAGGCGGACGGCGCGCTCTCCCGGCTCAGGCTGCGGAACCGCCGCCTGGGGCGGGAACGAGGGCGCTCGCGCTCTGAGCGGGGCTCTGCGGCCCCCCGCGCTGGCGGTGCCCAAGCGGCACGCTGTGCCAGCCCCAGGGCACGGGGACCCCGCGGCGGTTCACCTTGCCAGCCGGCGCCGCCGCCGGAGTGGGCGGACACGGCCCAGCTCAGCGGTGAGCCTCCGAAGGACCTGCCCTGCTGCCCACGACACCGCCCTCCCGGGACGCGCTGGGACCCGCCCACGCCTCGTCCCCGCGGGCGACCCAGCTGGACACCAGGGCCATCTTCGTTGTCAGCTGCCTGCACCTCTGCGTGAAAGAGGCTCAGAGAACTGCTTTCTGGTGAGCAAAAAGGGCGGCGGGAGGGAGGACGAGCACACTGGACAGAGGAAGGGTTCCCCGCCCAGGGGTATCTGTTCAGAAGGCCAGGACGGCCAGAGCTGACTTAGGGAGCACACTCCTCCTGTAGAAGCCTATAGATTCCTCAGAAGGTGAAACACAGAGTTAGCATATGGTTCAGCAATCCCACTCCAAGGTATATTAACCCCCAAAAAGTTGAAAGCAGTGACACGTGTACACCAATGTTCATAGCAGCATTATTCACAATAGCCAAAAGGCAGAAACGACCCAAAAGTCTATCAATTGATGAATGGATAAACTAAATACATATGGTGTATACATGCAGTAGACTATTGTTCAACCTTAAGAAGAAATGAAGTATAACAAGTGTTGGTGAAAACGTGGAGAAATTAGAACCCTTGTGCACTGTTAGTAAGAAAGTAAAATGATGCAGCCACTGTGGAAAACGGTATGGTGTTTTCTCAAAAAATAAATAAATAAAAGTACCATATGAACTAGCATTTCCACGTCAGGGTATATACCCCAAGTTGAAAGTAGGGTTGCAAAGACATGTTTGTACATCCATGTTCGTAGTAGCATTATTCACAATAGCTAAAACACAGAAGCAACCCAAATGTCCACCAATGGGTGAATGAATAAACAAGATGTGGTGTGTACACACACACACACACACACACACACACACACACACTAGAGGGCTTCAAAAAGTCCATGGAAAATGGAATTAAAAGATAAAAATTTATAATATAAATTTTGTTTTTCAACGTAAGCACCATCAAGTTCAAGACACTTTTGCAAGTGATGACACCAGCCATTTAGTTCATCCATAAGAACTGAGGGTCCTGGGAATTTACCCATGTAAATGTAGTCTTTTTTACATTATTAACTGGAGAAAATAAGTGCCCTTTAAAGATTTTTTAAGATTAAGAAACAAAAAGAAGTCTAAGGAACCAAATCAGGACTGTAAGGAGGATGCCTAATGATATCCCATTAAAACTCCCTGAAAATTGCCCTTGTTTGATGAGAGGAGTATGCAGAGACATTGGCATATCGGAGAAGGATTTTCTCTGGTGAAGCTTCCCTGGCTGTTTTTCTGCTAAAGCTTTGGCTAATTTTTTCAAAACACTCTCATAATAATCAGATGTTATCATTCTTTAATCCTCCAGAAAATTAACAAGCAAAATGCCTTGGGCATCCCAAATAAATGTTGCTATAACCTTTGCTCTTCATCAGTCTGCTTTTGCTGTGAGTGGACCACTCCCACCTCTTGGTAGCTACTGCTTTGATTGTGCTTTGTCTTCAGGATCATACTGGGAAAGCCACGGTTCATCTCTCGTTATAATTCATCAAAGAAATGGTTTAGGATCTTGGTCCCACTTGTTTAAAATTTCCAGTGAAATTCTGCTCTTTCTGCAGTTGATCTGGGCACAATGGTTTTGGCACCCATCAAGTGGAAATTTTGCTCAAATTTAAGTTTTTAGTCAGAATTGTGTAAACAGAACCAGTAGAGATGTCTGTGGTGTTGGCTATTGTTTCTGCTGTTAACCATCAGTGCTCCTCAATCAGAGCATGAACAAGACTAATTTTTTCCTCACAAATTTATGTGGATGGTCTGCCACTGTGGGCTTCATATTTAATATTGTCTCATTTCCTTCTTAAAATGAGTTATCCATTTGTAAACTGCTGATTTCTTTGGGGCATTGTCCCATGAACTTTGAATAAAGCATAAGTGATTTCATCATTCTTCTACCCAAGCTCCACAATAAATTTGGTGTTTGTTCCTGCTTCAATTTTTTCAGAATCCATGTTGTTCTGATAGGGGCTTTTTTTTTCAAACTGACGTCTTATCCTTCTTAGTGCGTAAAACTAGATCCTGTTCAGACATATTATAAGAAGTTAGTGCAAGTTTATTTTGGTATGAAAAAAGATTTTGAAATCTATGCATAGTTTTTTCATAATATGCATGCTCCATAAACTTTTCAAAACCCTTTGCATGCACACGTGGGTGTATATACACAAACAATGAAATATTATTCAACCTCAAAACAAAAGTCTAATGTATGCTGCAACATGGATGAACCTGGAGGACATTAT